TACGCTTGCAGGTAAGGCTACTGTGAAAGCCAGACAATCCATGGACCAGGCTGATATACTGAAAGCTCTAAGAGAGTTAAGACATTTGCGTGAACCAGCTGAGAACTGTGAATCTGCAACCATGGTTAAACTGCAAGAACAACATGTTAAACGGGGTGTCGACAAACAAGAACACTACTCGGGTAGCCACAGAAGAATAATAAGCCAAAACTGAACTGGTGTCTTTAGTCGCTACATGCTGCGGGATTTACTGAGGACGGGATCGGAGCACTTATGGACTGAGTGGTTCGACGTGCGATGAGGATAATCTGTCGACTAACTAGATTAATGGTATTGCTGAAAAGTGAACGCACCCACTACCTTATCAAGCCAGACCGCTCGAGACCACTCACTTCTTCCCCCCCCCCTCCCCACCCCAACCTCTTATACGTAGCCTACATAAAAAAGAAGGGAGTCAATGTGCGGATCTATGTAGTCTACATACGAAAGCAACCAATCAGTCTGTGACCTCTGTAGTCCACATACAAAGGCAATAAGTCTGGGGATCTCTGTAGCTGGGCGGATAAGCCCTCACCTTCGCCCTGTAAAGGCCATATGTTTGTTACTCACTCTTCTGTGTTCGTTCAATAGTGCAGCTTTTAAGAATATTTATATCTATGGGCTACGGAGTTCGTGCTGTATACGATACTTTCGGCAGCTGGCTAGCCATTCTGTAGAGAGAAGCTGAGCCATATGGAATGAAGCCCGATACGATGAAATCGATTCTCTAATCTTTAAATTTGCCGACATAATCTCTTGAACAGACTACACAAGAGTAAACATAAATAGTTAGGAAACTCCGGAGGCGGTGGGAATCGTATATATGATAAACAAATAGACGTGTATTGATAAGCAGTTACAGAAAGAAGTACAAAGAATGTTAAATGTTGAATTAAGAATCGACATCACAGCACTTTGGGTACTCCCATAAGTGCTCAGTCTGATTGTATATCTGTCTCATCATTCCCCTGGGTGTTGAGCGTTGGCCAGATCCCGCTGTAACTCCTCATAGCGCTATTCTCCTTAGACCGTCATGATCTATCTGCGCCTCCGCACTGTTCACTCGCCCTCGCAATATCTAACTTATCATACATCAATTCACCACCAAGTGGTGCAGAGCCAGCAAGTCTATCTGCTTGCTCATTTCCCAACACACCGGCATCACGTGGAGAAAATATCCAAAAGATTCTAACTACCTGGGACCTCTGAAGTGATGCTTGCCGCAGAAGAACTGAAATAGAAGGACACAGTAGACAAGATAGAAATCTTAAGAAGTAGTTACCATACCGTGTATCGGTTACCTCCAAATAGCTGCTAAATGTTCGTCTGACAGCAATCAAGATCCTATGATTCATATCCGCATCAATTTACGTTTTTCAAAGTTGACCTTTACTCCCAAGTCGATCCAGCCTAAGTGGGTACCAGGAAATGTCCGGGGAAGTAAAGTCTGCTAGCATGATGTTCACCGCATCAGCCATTGAGTGACCATTTGTCTGTAGCTCCAGCACCACTCACACAAATCGCCGAAGGCACGAAACGGGTTGTGTTTTTTTTTAAGTTCACAGACTCCTTTTCACGTCTTTTTAGGCGTATCGGGCATATGGGAAGAGCGCCCATATTTTACAGACCTTCTACCCTAGGTGGGTAATGTGGTTAGCATTACGCCGGCCGTCTTTACTTCCATGAAAATGGTGCTTACCTTTTATTTATCTTATTATGGTTTTCTTCAGTTTCTTACTTCTGATCACGCTCCCAGAGATTGTTCATGTTTGTTTCATTATCATGTAGATCTTCTATTTCTTCTTTGTTCAGTGGCTATAGGATTCAACGGAAAGTCCTGGTTGTTGTCCATTTGCAATTTGTCTTCGCGTCAAGGTCATCTATTTTACTAGTTTATTTGTGTGCAGCTGATTGTTCTTTGCCTTTCGGGAAGATTACTCCGAAGCTCCCAGTTAGTGGACTCTTACGACATGCTTGCTGAGGAGACAGTGGATCTGTTTTTGTTTTCCTTACAAGGGGGTCATGGAATCGTCACAAGAATGAAGGCGTTCAGTTTTCTTAAATGCGTAATTTTTTTATTTTTTTTTTATTCGAGACATCTTTATGGTATATAGGTCTAAATTACTCTCTGCATTCTTCTACGAACGACAGACATCTCTACTGTTTCCGCATAATAATAATAATAATAATAATAATAATAATAATAATAATAATAATAATAATAATAATAATAATAATAATAATAATAATAATAATAATAATTGGTACAGTGATTTTAAAATCCAAAATTAGAAGCATCATCAATCAGTAGGTCTACACAGAACGTCGCTCTCTTCGCGGCACGACTGGAAGTTTTTTTCTTTCTCCAGCCCAATGCTTCCGGAGAGAGAACTGTGTTATATATATATATATATATAGTCGTCTCCTTGTGGGATGCAGTTTTTTGTTATTGTGAAGCCCCTCCATGGCTGTTGCCGTGGGCCGTAATATAACCTACCGGTTGAACGGGGTTTCCGGGACATCTCTACGGGTGATGCTCACCCGCTTGGTGGCACTTTGTTTGACCGAGTGTTTATCGCTCGGTGTGGTGTCCTGGTGGGGTAAGTATTAATTACAAACTTTCCAGCGAGCGAGTCGCCCATTGGCTAGCTGCTAGACGTCTCCGTCACCGGTCAGGACAGTATTTGAGTCTGTCTCTTTTAATCGCATCAACACTTGGGGAGTCCTTTTCAGGGCTGCTTGGTGGCCAGCGTCGGCTCTGTGGCTAAGTCGATGCGAACGCTTCGCTTCGTAATGCCGGGATGCCAGGTTCGATCCCAGCAGCGAGCAATGCGCCTTGCGTTGGTTTCGACAGTGGTATCAAGAAAGCCGACCGTCCAGAAGGCAATGGCAAACTACTGGATGTAAATTGCCTAGAGAAACCACACAACAGCCAGGGGCTGAGGGTTGGTTCTGCAACGTCCTGTAAAGGATACGCAACTAACTTTATTATTAGTTGCCAGCAATGCTAAGCCTTTTTAAATGGCGCACATAACCTAGTCATAATTATAACCTAAAGCTACCTTTTTGGGGATGCTTTCTAAACGACGATTTTTTTCCCGCAAAGTAAGCCAAGTAAAAGTTTCCCAAGGTGGGACTCAAGCCCCATGTGTTGGGGAGGGGGTAATTTGATTGTTAAGGGGGTAATTTGATTATCAAGGGGGTAATTTGATTATCAAGGGGTAATTTGATTATCAAGGGGGTAATTCGCAAATTGACTCGTCTAGAGTTTAGGTTAGCCCTATGGTGATGTTCATACAGAGGATGAGAATTTTTGAAAGGTTTAGGTAAGGCATGGCACAAACAGGTTGAAAAACACTACTCTAGCATGGCACAAACAGATTGGAAAACACTGCTCTAGCATGGCACAAACAAGATGGAAAACATTGCTCTTGCATGGCACAAACAAGAAGGAAAACACTGCTCTAGCATGGCACAAACAAGATGGAAAACACTGCTCTAGCATGGCACAAACAAGAAGGAAAACACTGCTCTAGCATGGCACAAACAAAATGGAAAACACTGCTCTAGCATGGCACAAACAGGTTGGAAAACACTGCTCTAGCATGGCACAAACAAGATGGAAAACACTACTCTAGCATGGCACAAACAGGTTGAAACACACTGCTCTAGCATTGGCACAAACAAGATGTAAAACACTGCTCTAGCATGGCACACACACGATGGAAAACATTGCTCTAGCATGGCACAAACAAGATGGAAAACACTGCTCTAGCATGACACAAACAAGATGGAAAATATTGCTCTAGCATGGCACAAACAGGTTGGAAAACACTGCTCTAGCATGGCACAAACAGGTTGGAAAACACTGCTCTAGCCATGTCTACAGCTCTGGTGCTGTCTTCTTCGTGCTTACCGGCTGTAAACTCTGACGGAAAGTTCTAGATGTTCATTAAACTTCTGGACTTAGTGTACTTCCAGAAACTGGGTGTTGCTTGCATATCCGTGGTACAGATCTGACATATAGGGACCCGAAACCCACACAGGACGCTTTATGTGCTTTCATAGCCAATGCGCATTGTATCCAACTTCAGGAAGGTCTGCCTATGCCATATTTTCCGGAGACTTCTTCTTCTTCTCCTGTGTTCATCCATAGACGTAAATGCGTGCGCCCGTTTACAACATGTCTGCGATATTTGAGCCTTTCGGTCGACACATCCGACTTCAACATTTGTTGCCTGGCTTAGCCTTCCGAGATAGTTTTGCGAGACATTGAAGTCTCATTGTTATGTGGACATCTTTGTTTCCTGGGTCACAGGTGATGCCCCACATAAGACCGACCTAGAGCAGCCACCTAATGCTGGTCAGCCATCAACCATCCATCCATTTACGAAAACAAAACACACAAAAATCGACCATATTCAACCTATTTTGAGCAGTATCGGCTATAACTGTAGTCTGGTTTGTGTGTGTGTGTGGGTTGTCAAGTATGTTCAGCCATGAGGATAAAACAGGGGTAGAACTTGAGCATTCCGCGTCATCCAAAGAGGCTTCCGTAGATGCAGAACCAATACATATTGCTCTGATACTGGTCTCATCCAAAGAATCGTCACTTCCTGCTCACGAGAGCTCATTTTTGTATACCGAGCCTCTCATTCATCGCCAGCTGTGCTCTTTAGAAGCCAATTGGGAGGGAAGCGCTTGCAGTCTGCAAATCTGGAATTTCAACTACCTACAGTTTTCTGGAAAAGGCCACCCTTTACTTCCCCCCCCCCTCCTCCCCCCCCCTTCTGAACAGGCCACTTTGACGTTTGACATTGCCAAAATAAAATCGCACAGACTTGATTAAATCGGGCAAGGTAATTTAGTTGATGATCTTTGTCGTTTTACTTACTGATGATCTTTGTCGTTTTACTTACTGATGATCTTTGTCGTTTTACTACAAAACTGTTTTTCCTCAGGTACCTGGGAGTTGCTTCCCTGGCCGGTTCTCTCCATGACGACACCTGTAGCGAGGTCCCAGGTTTGGTACACGAGCAGTTACAGGTGTGCGAGAGCAACCCACAGTCTCTCCTTTGTATCAGCGAGGGCGCCAAACGAGGCATCCTTGAGTGTCAGAGCCAGTTTCGATTTGAGAGGTGGAATTGCAGCACCCAGAAAAACTACACAGTTTTTGGCCCAGTACTCAGAAAAGGTGAGCTTGTAGTTCCTAGTTCCCTTACCTGTCGCGATATGTCTCAGTTCTCATATCTCTCACGACATACCTCAGTTCTCATATCTCTCATTACATGCATCAGTTCTCATATCTCTCACTACATACCTCAGTTCTCATATCTCTCACTACATGCCTCAGTTCTCATATCTCTCACGACATGCATCAGTTCTCATATCTCTCACTACATGCATCAGTTCTCATATCTCTCACTACATGCCTCAGTTCTCATATCTCTCACGACATGCCTCAGTTCTCATATCTCTCACGACATGCCTCAGTTCTCATACCTCTCACGACATGCCTCAGTTCTCATATCTCTCACTACATACCTCAGTTCTCATTTCTCTCACGACATACCTCAGTTCTCATATCTCTCACTACATACCTCAGTTCTCATATCTCCCACGACATACCTCAGTTCTCATATCTCCCACTACATGCCTCAGTTCTCATATCTCCCACTACATGCCTCAGTTCTCATATCTCCCACGACATGCCTCAGTTCTCATTTCTCTAACTACATACCTCAGTTCTCATATCTCTCACGACATGCTTCAGTTCTCATATCTCCCACTACATGCCTCAGTTCTCATATCTCTCACGACATGCCTCAGTTCTCATATCTCTCACGACATGCATCAGTTCTCATATCTCTCACTACATGCATCAGTTCTCATATCTCTCATTACATGCATCAGTTCTCATATCTCTCACTACATGCCTCAGTTCTCATATCTCTCACGACATACCTCAGTTCTCATATCTCTCACGACATACCTCAGTTCTCATATCTCTCACGACATACCTCAGTTCTCATATCTCTCACGACATACCTCAGTTCTCATATATCTCACGACATGCCTCAGTTCTTATATCTCTCACGACATGCATCAGTTATCATACCTCCCACGACATGCCTCAGTTCTCATATCTCTCACTACATGGCTCAGTTCTCATATCTCTCATTACATGCATCAGTTCTCATATTTCTCATTACATGCATCAGTTCTCATATCTCTCATTACATGCATCAGTTCTCATATCTCTCACTACATGCCTCAGTTCTCATATCTCTCACGACATGCATCAGTTCTCATATCTCTCACTACATGCATCAGTTCTCATATCTCTCACTACATGCCTCAGTTCTCATATCTCTCACGACATGCCTCAGTTCTCATATCTCTCACGACATGCCTCAGTTCTCATACCTCTCACGACATGCCTCAGTTCTCATATCTCTCACTACATACCTCAGTTCTCATTTCTCTCACGACATACCTCAGTTCTCATATCTCTCACTACATACCTCAGTTCTCATATTTCCCACGACATACCTCAGTTCTCATATCTCCCACTACATGCCTCAGTTCTCATATCTCCCACTACATGCCTCAGTTCTCATATCTCCCACGACATGCCTCAGTTCTCATTTCTCTAACTACATACCTCAGTTCTCATATCTCTCACGACATGCTTCAGTTCTCATATCTCCCACTACATGCCTCAGTTCTCATATCTCTCACGACATGCCTCAGTTCTCATATCTCTCACGACATGCATCAGTTCTCATATCTCTCACTACATGCATCAGTTCTCATATCTCTCATTACATGCATCAGTTCTCATATCTCTCACTACATGCCTCAGTTCTCATATCTCTCACGACATACCTCAGTTCTCATATCTCTCACGACATACCTCAGTTCTCATATCTCTCACGACATACCTCAGTTCTCATATCTCTCACGACATACCTCAGTTCTCATATATCTCACGACATGCCTCAGTTCCTATATCTCTCACGACATGCATCAGTTATCATACCTCCCACGACATGCCTCAGTTCTCATATCTCTCACTACATGGCTCAGTTCTCATATCTCTCATTACATGCATCAGTTCTCATATTTCTCATTACATGCATCAGTTCTCATATCTCTCATTACATGCATCAGTTCTCATATCTCTCACTACATGCCTCAGTTCTCATATCTCTCACGACATGCATCAGTTCTCATATCTCTCACGACATGCATCAGTTCTCATATCTCTCACGACATGCCTCAGTTCTCATATCTCTCACTACATGCCTCAGTTCTCATATCTCTCATTACATGCATCAGTTCTCATATCTCTCACTACATACCTCAGTTCTCATATCTCCCACGACATACCTCAGTTCTCATATCTCTCACTACATGCATCAGTTCTCATATCTCTCACTACATGCATCAGTTCTCATATCTCTCACTACATACCTCAGTTCTCATATCTCTCATTACATGCATCAGTTCTCATATCTCTCACTACATGCATCAGTTCTCATATCTCTCATTACATGCATCAGTTCTCATATCTCTCACGACATGCCTCAGTTCTCATATCTCCCACTACATGCCTCAGTTCTCATATCCATCACGACATGCCTCAGTTCTCATATCTCTCACGACATGCTTCAGTTCTCATTTCTCTAACTACATACCTCAGTTCTCATATCTCTCACGACATGCCTCAGTTTTCATATCTCCCACTACATGCCTCAGTTCTCATATCTCTCACGACATGCCTCAGTTCTCATATCTCTCACGACATGCATCAGTTCTCATATCTCTCACTACATGCATCAGTTCTCATATCTCTCATTACATGCATCAGTTCTCATATCTCTCACTACATGCCTCAGTTCTCATATCTCTCACGACATACCTCAGTTCTCATATCTCTCACGACATACCTCAGTTCTCATATCTCTCACGACATACCTCAGTTCTCATATCTCTCACGACATACCTCAGTTCTCATATATCTCACGACATGCCTCAGTTCTTATATCTCTCACGATATGCATCAGTTATCATACCTCCCACGACATGCCTCAGTTCTCATATCTCTCACTACATGGCTCAGTTCTCTTATCTCTCATTACATGCATCAGTTCTCATATTTCTCATTACATGCATCAGTTCTCAAATCTCTCATTACATGCATCAGTTCTCATATCTCTCACTACATGCCTCAGTTCTCATATCTCTCACGACATGCATCAGTTCTCATATCTCTCACGACATGCATCAGTTATCATATCTCTCACGACATGCCTCAGTTCTCATATCTCTCACTACATGCCTCAGTTCTCATATCTCTCATTACATGCATCAGTTCTCATATCTCTCACTACATACCTCAGTTCTCATATCTCTCACGACATACCTCAGTTCTCATATCTCTCACTACATGCATCAGTTCTCATATCTCTCACTACATGCATCAGTTCTCATATCTCTCACTACATACCTCAGTTCTCATATCTCTCATTACATGCATCAGTTCTCATATCTCTCACTACATGCATCAGTTCTCATATCTCTCATTACATGCCTCAGTTCTCATATCTCTCACGACATGCATCAGTTCTCATATCTCTCACTACATGCATCAGTTCCCATATCTCTCATTACATGCATCAGTTCTCATATCTCTCACTACATGCCTCAGTTCTCATATCTCTCACGACATACCTCAGTTCTCATATCTCTCACGACATACCTCAGTTCTCATATCTCTCACGACATACCTCAGTTCTCATATCTCTCACGACATACCTCAGTTCTCATATCTCTTACGACATGCCTCAGTTCTCATATCTCTCACTACATACCTCAGTTCTCATATCTCTCATTATATGCATCAGTTCTCATATCTCTCACTACATACCTCAGTTCTCATATCTCTCATTACATGCATCAGTTCTCATATCTCTCATTACATGCATCAGTTCTCATATCTCTCACTACATGCATCAGTTCTCATATCTCTCATTACATGCATCAGTTCTCATATCTCTCACTACATGCATCAGTTCTCATATCTCTCACTACATGCATCAGTTCTCATATCTCTCACTACATACCTCAGTTCTCATATCTCTCATTACATGCATCAGTTCTCATATCTCTCATTACATGCCTCAGTTCTCATATCTCTCATTACATGCATCAGTTCTCATATCTCTCACTACATGCATCAGTTCTCATATCTCTCATTACATGCATCAGTTCTCATATCTCTCATTACATGCCTCAGTTCTCATATCTCTCATTACATGCCTCAGTTCTCATATCTCTCATTACATGCCTCAGTTCTCATATCTCTCATTACATGCCTCAGTTCTCATATCTCTCATTACATGCATCAGTTCTCATATCTCTCACTACATGCATCAGTTCTCATATCTCTCATTACATGCCTCAGTTCTCATATCTCTCGCTACATGCATCAGTTCTCATATCTCTCATTACATGCCTCAGTTCTCATATCTCTCATTACATGCATCAGTTCTCATATCTCTCATTACATGCATCAGTTCTCATATCTCTCATTACATGCCTCAGTTCTCATATCTCTCACGACATGCATCAGTTCTCATATCTCTCATTACATGCATCAGTTCTCATATCTCTCATTACATGCCTCTGTTCTCATATCTCTCACGACATACCTCAGTTCTCATATCTCTCACTACATTCATCAGTTCTCATATCTCTAACATGCCTTATTGGTCATATCGCCCATGTCCTACCTCAGCTCTTATACGACTGTGTTTGACACTACATGCCTCACTTCTCATATCTCTTCTGACAAGCGTTAGTTCTCATATCTCTTCTGACAAGCGTTAGTTCTCATATCTCTTCTGACAAGCGTTAGTTCTCAAATCTCTTCTGACAAGCGTTAGTTCTCATATCTCTTCTGACAAGCGTTAGTTCTCATATCTCTTCTGACAAGCGTTAGTTCTCATATCTCTTCTGACAAGCGTTAGTTCTCATATCTCTTCTGACAAGCGTTAGTTCTCATATCTCTTCTGACAAGCGTTAGTTCTCATATCTCTTCTGACAAGCGTTAGTTCTCATATCTCTTCTGACAAGCGTTAGTTCTCATATCTCTTCTGACAAGCGTTAGTTCTCATATCTCTTCTGACA